GCTGGGCCAACAGAGAAATGACACAGTTATATTTATTTAAAATGCCATTTATTTATCAAACATTTATTAAATGCCTATTATTTGCCAATCCCTGGGCTGGCACTAGAGGTCAAAAGATGCCCTCAGAAGCATTGGTCCAACATATAGGGTGGGGCAAAATTGGGTTTACAGTTGTTCACATGGAAAAGAATAGAGCATCAGCCTGTGGACCAAAGGGTCCCAGGTTTGATTCTGGTCTAGAACTCCTCACCAGGTTCTTGATCCCGCAGGGATCTTGTCATAGAGAGTAGCTGGTGTCAAACTCAGAACATTAGACTCAGGAGTTTGAGAAGAGAGATTCAGGAAAACTCTATTGTTGATATGAGGGTCATTGGATTGAACAATTGTTCCCACTGACAGAGTAGAGTCGTGTCTTCCTCCCTACACTGTCAAGGATGAGCCAGCTCTGGCTACAGCGGCCCATCCTCCCACCAGCGGCTGCAATGTGACGATGAAAAGATGATGGCCCTGGGCTCTTGCCTTCCTCAGAGGCCCCCTGCTGGGGTCCAACCCCAGCAGGTCTAGGGGTCCCCAAAGGTGTGGACGGAGTCGGCAAAGACTATCCACCCTCTTCCTATGGTGGAGTCCTATCCATCCCGGGTGCGGGGGGGCTTACCTAAGGGTCCCTGTTCGGGCGCCAGATGCTGGGGTCCAACCCCAGCAGGTCCAGGGGTCCCCAAAGGTGTGGACGGAGTCGGCGAAGAAGGAATGACACGGAGACAGCGTTCAGTTGATCAGCAGCCTAGCCAGGATCTCCAGCCAAGTTCTGGTCTGGATCTCCAGCGAAGTTCTGGTTAGGATCTCCAGCTAGGTTCTGTGTCCATGTTCTCTTGCTAGGTTCTCCAGGTTCTCCAGCCAGGTTCTGTAGCCATGTTCCCTTGCTAGGTTCTCTAGCCAGGTTCTGTCCAGGTTCTCCAGCCAGGTTCAGTCACCAGGTTCTAGTCAGGTTCTCTTGCCAATTTCTGTAGTCAGGTTCAGTCCAGGATCTTTTGCCATGTTCTCTCCAGCGAAGTTCTTCTGTCTCTAGGTTCTGTGTAGGTTCTGTCTTCTAAGTTCTGTGTTGTTACATCTGTATTTATACCAGTTGATTCCAATCCTATCAATCTCTATTCCAAAGGTTAGGGCGTTTCTTATCTCCATTCCAGGGAGTAAAGATTATGTAGCTTAAGCATGATTGTTCATAGTTAAAGTGATTAATTACCCGCCTGGCACTTAGTTAAGAGGTTTTATTCCCTCCTTAACTTCAGGGGAAAATCCCTACCTGGGGAAACAACCTTTCTCAGAGACCTTGGTTAAAACACATAGTGCCAAGAAGGTGAGCAAACATATTAAGAACAGTATGCCATATATGCCAGGTCTCTTGAAACAGCAAGGATGGACCGGCTCCCGGCAGCCCCCTCTTTCACAAGCATGCTCCAAGCATATTTGTGTATGCGTCCCATCAAGGACTCAGTCAGGCACCCACCAAACGTCTGATTAGCTAGCACATGCCAGGCAGTGTCAGGGCACCAGGGGATCAGCACAGCCCCATCCTTCTTGCCCCAAAGGGGTAGAAACACAGGAGGAAAGTCTCAATACCATATGTCCAGTTGCAGAACAGAAAAATGTAAAAAAATGTGACAAGAAGAGGTGGGATCCTAGAAGTAAGTCATCAGGAAAGTTTCCACAAAAGCAATCATGTCTAAAGCTTGAAGAATGGGTGGCAGCTCCCCACAAAATGGATGCAGGGAGACAAGCCCAACAACAGACAGGCTGTGGGAAGCTTCTCAGCTCCCTAAAGACAAGGCCTTGCCTTTTGAATGACGTCTACACAAGGGAGTAAAGGGGGGGATCCTAGGAGTATTTGTGTTTCCCCAGAGCAGGCTGTTTTCAGGGTGATTTCTATTTTAACATATTCTTTGCAGGGGCAAGATATTTCATTCCACAATCCAAGTAGAGTATCAAATAGAATCATGTACAATATTGTTAACAGTGATGTAATCTGAGGTACTGTGCTGATTATATAGATTTATTAGGAATAATTTCATTGCTTTTTAACTACAAATGGATGAGAGATCAGTAAAAGATTGTTATTTTTAACTGGGAGCAGCAATAAGATTTCCCAGAAGGCAGAAACTTTTATTTCTGGTCGCAGGTGACTACGCATAAGCCTATCTATGTCCTCGCTGACACATTTTGTCTCAGATGCAAAGTGTAGCTTTGGAAAGAGCAAACCACGTTCAGGCCTTACGCGAAGCTTATGTGATAGATACTACTGCAGCTTTCTGATATTCTACTTCCTGGCCCTTCCTGCAAGCATGGCAGGGCGACACCTCTCCTTCCCTACAAATTAGCAAGGCAACTTGCTGTGGGCCAGGAATTAGCTGCCACTGCAGGGTGGAAACACTTAAGAATCAGCTTGCAATTCTCTCACCTCTCCTCCCACCCTCAGGCAAACTCTGAAGCATCATGTGGAGAGAGAAGTGTGAGAGATTGAAGCCAAACACTGACACACCATGTAGAGGCTGCTCTGCAGAGTTGTCCAGCCTCCTCATCAGATTTCGCACGAGTGAGAAAAAAAAAAAAAGCACGGAAAATTGGGCCATTCCCTAGCAGACACACTTGTTCAGAACATACTGAGTATTGATGAATTTACAAAGCAACGCCCACCGGCATTGCCTTAACCAAGATTAATGAATATGATTTGGAAATATTTATACTTGTAAGCTTAGAAAAGCTGCGCAGAAAGTGAAGCTTTCTAACTGAAATGAAAATAGGTTAGACACAGATATTTTTCTCTATAATAAAAATAAAATAACACCATATAGCTGAGTCTTCTTTTGTTGTGTAGATATCAACATTGGAGCGCCAGGAGTGGGTGGGGATGTTAGAAGTGGAAACAACAAAGATATAGGAATTTAGATCCTTCCTCTGTAAATTCCTGATATACCCCACTGGGGACTAGGATGATTTTTTTTAAGGTGAACATAACCTGCTGTCATGATTTCAGCCATATAAATTGTGACAATGTGTATTTATTCAGAAGCAATGCATATAATCACAAAGTTTCCAGGAAGCGAAGGGCTAAACACTATCATCTCATGGCAAGCATTACTGCAAGGAGACGGGGAGGGCAGATCCCTAGTTCTTCCTTTCAGTTACAAAATGTACAACAGAGGACATCTTTGCTTTCTTATCCTTGCAGAAAGTGTTGAAGCTTTAGCTGACTCAGTCACTGCATTTCCTTTAGATGTGACCACTTTAAAATAATCTGCTAGCAAACTTCAAAGGACATAGCGAGGAAAGGATCAATATCTTTTACAACGGCTCTAAAGAACCAGAGAGCTTCATTTACGATATCATTGAAATTCCCTTTAAGATAAAGAAGAGGTTAAACTTGAGAAGAAAAACAGCAGAGCCATATTTGACAGCACTGCTTAATACAGTCTTTGCAACAATAATTGCACAATAACCCCACAGGTCAGTATCTGCTCTGTATTTTAAGAGAGTTGTTGCAATGCAGAGAATACTCTCTGCCCTTGAATGAAAAAACATGGGGCAACATGGAAAGTCACAGGATGACATTTTAACATAATATCTAAAAATCATGATGCTCACCAAACTGAGATGGCAGTTTAAAAACAAAGCATATCCCTTAATAGATTCCTTAGTAATATTTTCACTTGTACATCTATTTTAGGAAACATACACATTTTAGGGAGGCACTATAATATGGAGTTTATACTGTCTGGATTTATTTAAAATATTCATACTATGAGGACAGCCAATAAAACTTGAGATTTGGGACTGTCCTCAGAGATATAGGACTAGAACAAATGAAACAACACAAAACAGAAGAGATCTATAATTCAAGAATTCAGCGTGGTTCCGTGTAAAAATATTAGTCATTGAAACTAGGCAGGGGGAAATAAGGACCTAAGCAATATCACAAGCGGGCGGTACTTAAGCATACAGGCCTGTCAGTCTAACCTGGAAAAAAAATAATTGGCTGGGGGGACGGAGCCAATGTAAGCTGCCTCTCCTCCCTTACCCCCCGCCCCCTCAATCCCCCAACAACACATATAGTTTGAGAAGCTGATTGGTTATTTTGAAAAAGCTTCTGGTTCCTCCCAAGCCTGAAAGTACATAATTCCAGGTGAAAAAAGAAGCTCATTCTCCCTTGCTCAGTGATCTGCACTCTCACCCTTTGGATCATATCATATGCTCTCCAGCCCAGGAGCACCGACCACGCGGCTCTAGTGGCCACTGGGGCCCTTGGCAGATTGTGCAGGCTCTGAAGGACCATGAAGCAGAAACTCTGGGCTCTGGCCTTGGCCTTGTTGAAGACACGATTGTACGTTTTCCATGGCAGCACAGACAGCCATAGGACCTTGGGAAGCCAGGAAGAAAACTCTTTTGATATTACATCAGAAATAAACCAGGCTGCCACACCACAATCTCCATGTGTGGGTGTTCGGAATTCTTTCTTTGCGATCAGCCCAATTTCCACTGACAACAGAAATGCTTAGGCATGATGTGATCTCAACCTTTCACGTAGAGCTAATATCTAATCATTTTAATAACTGGAAAGACATCAGTATAAATATAAATTTCTCTGCACAAAAACTATAGAACTAACAGATGAGGTGAGTAACCTATAAGAAAGTAGACTCTAATTATTAATTCTCTAACTGTACAACTTACCTTTTATAATGGTTTGCAGCTTAAGAAGTGTTTTAAAAAAACTTGCTGCATTTAATCTTCAAGTTCACTCTGTATTCAGGCAAAGATTTTATAAGGCAAAGCTCTACTTTACAAAGAAACCAAGTCTCAAGGAGCAAATGATGACTTACTCAGTGGCACAAACTTACTCACTTACCGAAGTAGTGGTAGCAATACCATTGATTTATCATCCATAACGTACTTAGAATAAAATAGGACACTAGTACGCTAAAAGTGGAGACATGCTAAACCCTGCTTACCTTTCAAAGCCAATCTGCCGAAATGTCTTTTCCCACGTTGAGCCTGCAAGAGAAGAAAGGAACATAAGTAGTGCACATCAAGTATTCTGATACCTTTGTCCTGTGGTTTTGTTTGTTTGTTGGTTTTGCACACTCTGCTAGGCATTTGTTTTAAAATTTAAAATTTGTTTTAAATTTAAGTGGAGACTTTGTTTCCCCTAGGATGCATCACTGCTTTCTTCTAGTCCCCAAAGGGCCTTTTAGAGAACATTCTACATCCGGAGTTAATGGGACTAATCTGTACCTCACTTACCTGTGGTAAGGCAGTAGCCCACTAACTCATTCTCTAAACATCTGCATTTGGTTCAGAATAATATGAGCAAAACTCTCCTGACAAAAATAACTAAACAGTTTATTCTAACCCGTACTCTCTAAAATTCAGCTTTTACTTTCGTGTAGCATATTGAAAGCTAGAGGACACTGTAGGGTAGCAACATTTTCCACCCCAGAATGTGTCTCTTTATCATGAGGATTATTTTAGGCTAATTATTTGTAAGAAACAGAGATTATAGGAAGTTTTTCTTTTTACCTCCCCCTTAACTGACTAAAGTAGTTTAGATACAGGTGCCTATACCAGAAAAAGAGCTATACCAAAGAGAACATCAGAAAGAGTTCTCTGCATTTGTTTAACTGGCATTTTCTCTTCCCTGCCCCCCCATGAATGGCCTTCTACCCTGTGAACTCTCATGCCTATACCAATTGCCTGACTATCTGGGAGCCGCATACTTTGGAATGCCCATTTTTATTAAATTAAATTGATTTTTCTCCTGTTAATTTATATTATGCTCATTAGACCAGCCAGGGAACCTAAAAGGGTAGAGTAAAACTTTTTCTTCCCCAAACAATACTCTGAACTTCCAACTCATTATGCCCCATGACTCTCTCTCTCACTAGGGTTGAAACACAGGATTAACATTTAATGTTTTAAGCTAAATATTTTAACCAGAAATATCCTGAATGCAGAAATGCTATTTTAAGTGGCAGATTTGAAGAGTAGTATATGCAACTCCACAAAACACAGCTGGGTATAAAAAATGTTTTTATATAAAAATTAAAGGTTTGTGCTTAACCCATAGTTTTACATTTTCATGATGTCCAGCCAGTTGCAAAAATATTTTAATTTCAGTTACTATTTCAAGTAAACACCCATGTATCCCTAAATTTATATGTTGTGCTTTGTACTAGTTGCTTGATAATCACAGCAGATAATTACTGCCTTTCTGTACAATTTAGCTCTGTAAACAGGAAGTGGTAGATTCAGCACTGGTCTCCAGGGGCAGCTGAAAAGCTACCCTGCTTCTTTTCCTAAAGTCACAATGAACTAGGTGCTTATATGTCTTTCTTGAGAACTCTGCCTCACAAACTTTATCATCAGGTGGCCACTCAGTGTCTCCTAAACATTGGGCAGACTTTCTGGAAAGATGGGAGATTATGCAGTAGTAGTTTCCTTTTTGAGGACTCATCCAGTCCCAAGAGAGCACAAGCATGCTGCTTCCCCATACTCCTTGGCTATGATAGAGCATTTTAGATAATTATTCATAAGTAATAAAGGACTAAGTATCAGATAAGAATTAGACACACACACACACACACACACACACACACACACACAAATTTAAAGCAGATGCGGGTTTACCTGCTTGGATCAAGTCACTCTTATCTAACTGAATTCCAATACACTTTGCTGAGCAGGAGTAAATGATATGGAATTTTAGTTAATCAACTCAAGATTTTCTGATGGCTCTGAGCCCAGGTGAGTGTACCCCATCTGAATGTTATCTATCCTGTGAGTCACATGCAAAACAATTAAGAATCTCTATTTCAGGATTTCTTTGAAGATGATGACTCTAGTCCCCTAAGAGCCTAGCAATTAAGAGGCTGGCGAAGAATACATGCCTGACTCAGAAACCACATTGTATTCCAGGGCAGCTGGCAACTGCCCGGCCCAAATTAAGAAGCAGGAGAGATTGAGTCTCCTGCCAAGCGAGAACCAGACATTCTGAGCACAGACCAAGTGGGGAGGCTCCAGGAGAAGGTGGGGTGCGGGTGGGTGGGGAGTGGGCTTAGATGCTACTTTTCTTGAAGTTTCTTACTTTCAGTGAGAAACAAAGCACCTTTTAAATTTTTCTACATTTGCATATTCCTAGATTTTCTTCAGTTATTCCTAAATTAATTTTAAGCACAATTTTTAAGAAAACCTCTTTTTAATAGACTAGATTTATTATCAAAATAAAACAAAAGTAAATGACTTTGCTATATTGCACTATCAGACTTTTAGATCATGAAGCTTTAATTAAGAAATAGGTTCTATCTTATTGCGGAGAAATGTAAACTTATTCATACAGGCAGAACAAGTTATAAGTGTTTGGTGCAAGACTTCCAGAAATCCTTAGAATAAACATTAAGGCACCCAACCAAGCATAATACAATGAAACAACTTCATTCTAGTCACTAGAAATCAATTTAATTGATCATTTGAGCATCCTATGTACCACAGGCATCCATCATTGCTTGCTATTGATAATCTGGTAAGCATTGCAATATGTTAGGTACCAAACTGAATATATTAAAATATGGTTTCTGCCCTCAAATGGCACATACCCTAGAGGGTTAAGTCTTTATGTCTTTTGTGCGCACTTAGTCATGATGAAAGGAGAAATGCACAATAAATGGTACAGACATATTCAGATCCTTTGGCACCAAGAATATTTTTGGCAGCCCATTATTCAGTTGCTGGGGAATTCTTTTAAAGCCATTAGCCATGTTTTACATGGTAAGGTAATATTACTCTCCTTTGCCAGAGCAGTCCAACATGGAGAGAAAACAAAGGGAGAGAGCTGGCAGACTTTCTTGATTTAACACTTTTTAAATGAGATTTAGAATACGGAGAAGTCTGAAGCACATGACATTCTTCAGGAAAAATCAAACAACAGCAACAACGACAAAAAGGAAAATATAGAACATAGAGAGATGGATACGCTCCATAAGAGGGATTTTCCCTTTGCGTCTCAGATGTAGTTAGAAATGACTGTGATTCTTCATTTTTTAAAATTGCCCTTCATAGCACAGCCATCCCCCAAACAGAACTAAAATCTTTGTGGTGGATCACAAAGACCAGAGGCTGGAAACAAACCATGGACTGAATGTCATGCAGTCTAGGAAGCAAGTTCCAGGATCTATCCCCTGTGTGCACCAGGTGACAAACTACCCCTTTGCACTGACAGTCCCAGGACTCCCAGAGGAACTACCACGCCAAAGGGTAGGGCATTCCTTCCTCGAGGCATCAACATCTGCCCCTTCACAAAATGAGCAAAGCTCCATCTGTCCGTTCTCACGCTCTCCCTAACCGCTCCCTCCCTTCTGCATCCCATCTACCTATCAGCTTCTGTCAGCTCCATGCCCCCTCTTCCCATCACAGAAACAAGTTATGGATGGAAACTTCCTTTCTTTGGGAGCTACTTTCTCCAGGCCCAGGAGCTTCTGAGGGAGCTCGGGGTCATACTACCTCTCCTTCACTGGCTACAGAGGCAGGGCAGGCTGGCCACTCCTCACAGCACCCTACCTCCCAGGCCACACGATCAGGAAGGGCACATGATAGGCTAGTTCAGGCCAGGATGGACCCTTTCCCAGCCGGATGACCTAACTCCCAGGAAGCTCTCTCTGCTGGCCTACCAGAGAGCCAGGATGATGAGCGCCCAGGGCTGAGGATATTCACATAGCGGCCCTGTTTCTGCCACACGGAAAAAGCTGTGTAAGAGGAAAGAGGGGACCCCTGAGCAGAGGTAGCCCGGAGAGAGAGGAGGGGCTCCTGATGGTGTCCCTGTCTGGTCCAGGTGCCCCTGATGCCCTCGCCTTTCCTGTCACTCCAGTTATGAGACAGCAAAAATAATCTGCATGTTTAGTTTAGTCTCATGTCTAGCTTTAAGCCTGACATTTGTATCTCAAAGAGCACTAAATATGAACAATAAAAATAAGATTTTAACAACACATTGAGCATCCATATTTTAGCTGGGAATATAAATATTTTAAATAAATGCTAGATGATTTTAACCATATTTTATATCAAGAGAGTGAACATTCTCCCCCAAATTGACATGGCAATAAAAACAGCTTGCAGTTCATGCTAACTTCCTGTCTATTAGCTAATATAGTCCTTCCAAATGCTCCATAAAGTCACGACTATTATCACGTGCCCTTTGCAAGGGGAAAACACTGGGTAGAGGGTCAGGACGCCAGAGCCAATGCTCTTGACTTCTTTACTCCTTTTTCTGTCATACGTTGGGGGCTGATATTATTGACCTTTCTTCCTGCTTCATTTTCCTTTTCTTATTCTCCTTCCTATCATTTGCCTCTTGCCCCAATCTGGCTACAATATGGAATTAAAAATTTTTTTTTTGAATTTCAAAGAATTTTTATGTCTGATTATTAATTTTGGAATATGGGGGTGCCTATAGGAGAAGTTATCTGTCATCAAACGTCTTCTTCCACCACCTTCCTTTTATCTAGGACCTATGAGTCTCCTGTGTTAATTTTGTTTAACACTCAGCACGCCCAGCAGGAGCTCAACTGTACAAACACCCATAGGCCGAGGAAGGCCATGCACCAATATGTAACCTGCAGATGACCAGACAGGGCTAATTATGTTTCCTTGTTCTACTTTTTCTGTAGTAGTGGTTTAAAATTACAGGGCTTTGGCCCTGGCCCAGTGGCTCAGTGGTTGGAGCATTGTTTACACCAGAAAGGTTGCGGGTTTGATCCCAGGTGGGGGCGTGTACAGGAGGCAGCCGATCCTTGTTTCTCTTTCATATTGCTCGTTCTCTCTCTCTCTCTCTCTCTCTCTCCCCCCCCTCCTCTGTCTCTAAAATCAATAAATATATCCTTGGGTGAAAAAAATAAAATAAAATCACAAGGCTTTGCTACCAGGCATCTGTGTGCTAACAGCTCTGCCTCTGGTCATCTGTATTTCCTTAGACAAGTCACTCTTGCGTTTTTCTCTTTCTTTAA